TTTTTTTTTTTTTTTTTTTGGTGTAATGTTGTCAAACAGAGAGAACCTGTTTGAAGAGATGTTGCAGGAGCCTGATGAAGTGGCAATGAAGAGAAAGCGTACAAGGGAAACCCTTCGTGTACTTCAGCAGGCTTTTCGGGTATGGTTTTCCTGCTCGTGGCGATGCTTGCATCTTGATATGATGAAAGATCTATCATGCTGGAAACTAATCAGCGTTAAAATAACATAAAATAAAATAACCAATTGGATGATGAGTACGATAAGGGTATGCAGATAAATGCAAGGACGCGAAAGAACGAGAAAAAAAAAATGATCACATGACATAATAGGTAGAATGAATCTCACAAGATATAAAAGGGGTAGGATTATAAAGCATCTAGACAGAGGAATTCATAATCATCATAACAAGATGAAATCGTTCATCGAACAAAAAACGCTCAGAGTCGCCAGATGGTAAATATTGAGAAGATTTTTATTGAAGTAACTTGTTTAGTTCAGTTTGCTGTTTGATCGTGACATTAGCATGAATGAAGTTCTATAAATATATCATCTTTTCAATGATTGCAGACACTGGATGAGTTACCTTTGGAGGCTGAAACAGTTGAAAAGGGATACAATGTGGGCGCCGATCCAACGGGATTACCGAGGATCCATGGACTGCCAATGTCGTCGATGTATTCTACATCCAGTTCCGGCGATTCATATTCTGCTTCCCCAAGGCATCTAAAATCTCGCAAGTCACCTCATTCGGAGGAGCTCTCGTCTCCATTCCATCCTAATGCTGATTCTAATGGAAGCGGATTCCTGTAAACGCCAGGAAAGTAACCATCTACACCATCTTTAAAGACTTCTGAATGTGCACAAGAGTCCAGTTATTACTGAATGAAGGCAATATATTTGATTTACTGCTCGACCAGGTTTTGGAATTTTACCATCCAGAACTTAACTCTAGTGGAGCTAGCTCTTTCTACTAAAAGATTAAATCAAGATAAAAGTATCTCTTCCTTCTTCTGTGTTCTTCTTGATATGTTTTAGCGTTAGATTGCATTATTTATGAAGGTGCTATTAAAATAAATAGGGAGAAGACGAACTAGTCACTCCATTTTTGGAAGCCATCTGGTTGTAAAAATGTAATGCCAGTCGAAACTGTTCAGATTTTGGAATCAATGGCTGATTTTGCAGCTGCTATAGTTCATCAGTTGTTCTTTGACCTGTCTCTGATTCACTTTACATATGTAAATATGCTGCTCCGGATCATATCTTACTGAGGGGTTATGTATGTTTGGATGATATGAGTTGGAACTCTCCAGCACAAACTTTTGTAATTGCAATTTTGATGTTATGTTGTGTAACTATATAATGGGATGTTTCAAGCCCACCAATGCACTACAGAAATTGGTTCCAAGCTTGCTAATGAACAAAGCTGCAGAGCTTTCTCTCTCTCTCTCTCTCTCTCTTATGAATGAAATCTGATTTATTATTCCCAATGCAAAATGAACCCTTTTAGAAATAATGTGTGAAATAATCGGCTGGAAAAGGGAAAGAAGCATTCATTATAAGAAAAGAAGCATTCATTATAAGGGTGTGAAAACTTCTAGATGCATTTTTCAAACCTTGAAGGGAAACCTAAAGCAAAACCATTAGAACTTATGCTCAAGTGGACAATATCATACTTGTGAAGAGTCGTATTCATCTAACATGATACTAGAGCCATACTAAACTTAGTCATGTCAATAAAATCCTCAAATGTTGAACAAAGGACTCAAAAAAAAAAAAAAAAGTCGAGACTCTTCGAAGGTACAGTCAAAAGATGACTAAGACTCCAAAAGAAANACAGAAATTGGTTCCAAGCTTGCTAATGAACAAAGCTGCAGAGCTTTCTCTCTCTCTCTCTCTCTCTTATGAATGAAATCTGATTTATTATTCCCAATGCAAAATGAACCCTTTTAGAAATAATGTGTGAAATAATCGGCTGGAAAAGGGAAAGAAGCATTCATTATAAGAAAAACCCTTTTAGAAATAATGTGTGAAATAATCGGCTGGAAAAGGGAAAGAAGCATTCATTATAAGAAAAGAAGCATTCATTATAAGGGTGTGAAAACTTCTAGATGCATTTTTCAAACCTTGAAGGGAAACCTAAAGCAAAACCATTAGAACTTATGCTCAAGTGGACAATATCATACTTGTGAAGAGTCGTATTCATCTAACATGATACTAGAGCCATACTAAACTTAGTCATGTCAATAAAATCCTCAAATGTTGAACAAAGGACTCAAAAAAAAAAAAAAAAGTCGAGACTCTTCGAAGGTACAGTCAAAAGATGACTAAGACTCCAAAAGAAAAACTCTTCGAAGGCATAGTCAAAAGATGACTAAGACTCCAAAAGAAAAGGAGTCGAACCTTGATTAAGGGGAGACATATTTTGTTCGAGGAGAGATATTGGATGAAAGTCCCACATCGGCTAATTTAGAGAATGATCATGGGTTTATAATCCAAGAATACTCTCTCCATTGGTTTAGAGCCTTTTGGAGAAGCCCAAATCAAATCCATAAGAGCTGATCCTCAAAGTGGACAATATCATACCATTGTGATGAGTCGTGTTCATTTAATAATATTTGCTAGCGATGAGCTTGGATTGTTACAAATGATATTAGAGTCAAATACCGGGTGATGTGCCAGCAAAGACACTAGGCCTCCAAGAGGGGTGAATTGTAAGATCCCCACAACGATTGGAGAGGAGGACGAAGCATTCCTTATGAGTGTGAAAACATCTCCCTAGTAGTCCCGAGTGCCCTCTGCATATGAGGAAGTATCTGAATATGTACTTCCAAATTTTCTCTAAGCAATTTATATTACTTGCAAACATGTAAATTTTGAGTGAACTGACAGAAATGCTTTCAAACATTGCCTACAAATTCTAAGGACGTTTTTTAGAATGATTAGTAGCTTTATGCCATAGCTTCATAGCAAGTAAAATATGGTGTCTTCCCTCCTAGTGGGTCATGCCATCATGCAAGAACTCTTCAAAGGCCATCCTCTGCTGTTAGTTCCTCTTCTAAATGTGTTCCCTATAGCAGGAGAGACCATAATACCATTAGCAAACTTCAGTAAATGCACAAACACAGCCTACTTGAATGAAACAAAATAGTTCAAACAATCTTTCTCTTTGTAAAACAATCCAATAAATACTAATGTCTGTGACAACAATCCTTCAAATCCTTATACGCTATCGACCGAATCGAATATGACCCAAGTGCTTAGAGGTTCGAATCAACATCCCACTACACATGTAGCCTTTCTAAAAAGGACTAAACATGACAACCCTTGAAGGCTTTCAGCAACAAAAATGCAGAAGCAGCCAACTAAATGAACCAATTTCAGTAACAAAATGAGCTCTGATTCACATTTCATATCAATTGTAATTCAGGATACCTATTCTTTAGACAGTGTCCAAGCAAACTACCATAAATTTTTGAATCTCATACACAACATATACAAGAAGTGTTCCAAAAGAACACATAATGGAGCTACACTGAGTACTATAACTTTATAATACGAAGGGGAAAAGGAACGAACCTCGATATTTAATCAAATCTATTTCCTTATGGAGACGATTACGAACAAATCCTCATACAAGATTACAACTGTTACCTTTTCTTTACCAAATGAAGATAGTTTCTTTGAATACTCAAGATTGCCCACAGCAAATGCCAAAAGTTAATTCTGCTCTTACAAGATTATAACTGTTTCCTTTTCTTTACCAAACGAAGATTGTTTCTTTGAAAATTCAAGATTGCCCACAGCAAATGCCAAAAATTAATTTCTGGCCAAAGTGCTGAGGGAGAATACAAATAACATGAAGAGGTCTGCCACAAAAGGAAATTGCTCAAGCGGGCCTCTCCAGACGTACGAATTAGCATATCGGGGTCGGGAGTAACCGTGGTATACATATGCTTCTCAACATCAGCTAATGTTATGAAGTTCTCACCATTTTCAGCCATTACTAACTTTTTGCCTAAATCATTTCCTTCTCCATTTGCACTTTTCAAATTCATCTCATCCCATTTCTCTTCACAAGACTTTTCAACGGCACGAACAATTTCATCGGTGGAAGTGTAAGCAACACAGATAGCAAGTACTGCTCTGTTATTGTTGCATGTGGCTGTCGCCGCTTTTTCAAGCGCTTTCCTGACGGGTTCACTCAACAAACCTAAGTTTCCTAAGAAGTGAAGTCTAACTCCATATTGATTCACAAGGCTTTCTTCTCTAATCAACAATTCAACTTTTTCCAACATCAGATCCATCACACCTTGAACTTCTTCTGGACTTCTTCGAAAATTATCGATGCTGAAGGCGTAGATCGTCACGTACTTCACACCAAATTCAAAGCAGTACTTGAGCATGGACACCAAAGACAAATACCCAAACCTATGGCCAGCCCCTTCTGCCAACTTTTTTTTCTTTGCAAATCTCCTATTCCCATCCATGATGAAAGCAACATGAATGGGAATTGAACCCATCGATAGAACATTGAAGGCGCATCTCCTAAAAAAACTAGTAACACGTTCGATGATCTGATTAAGTACAACCCAAAAATTTACCCACACATTTCCAACTCCCATTCTGTTTTGATTGCTTGATGTGTAGCACCAGACGCCTGTCAATGAAGCCATGATTTATTAAGTATAGAAATTTCATAGGAAAAAACCTTCCATGAGTGCAATTATTGAAAGAGCAAATTTCACCAGTATGACATTTTCTATCCATATTATGTCCCATTTGATAACCATTTCATTTTATGTTTTTGGTTTATAAAAATTAATCTTCTAAACACCACCTCTACCTATAAATTTATTTGTTTTGTTATCTACGTATTATACCTTTTTTTTAAGATCCAAGCCGAATTTGGAAAACTAAAAAACTTACTTTTGTTTTGTAATGAGCTAAGAATTGAAGCGTTCTTTTAAGAGAAGTTCAATCTATAGTCAAGAAATGATAAGGAAATGAATACATTTCAAAAAAATTGACCTAAAAAAGGAAAGTTTTATCAAATGGGAATTTAACTAAGTGGCTCGTTGACAACATGAGTCTATAGCCCTCTAGTATGAAATAGATCAAGAATAGTAGGAGCCCATGCATTTATCTCAACATAGAGCATATAACATTAATCGAACATGATTCCATTACTATCTACAACTTTCTAACTCAACTCTCTCTCTCGTTCTGCCATTTTTTATGCCCCATCTTCCAACCTCTTATTTTCTCTCTTTCGCCTCTCTTGCTTCAGTACTTCTTCTTTATTGCCTGATAATCTCCATTCCTTACTGTTCTCTTCTTTCTGAAACACCCATTTGATCAATTTATGTACTCTTTTTGTTGTTTTGTGCTCTCTTTGATCTTGTATTCGTATATTCCTTTTTTTTTTTTTTTTTTTTTTTTTTTTTTTTTTTTTTTTTTTTTTTTTTTTTTTTTTT